TGATTGATTGATTGATTGATTGATTGATTGATTGATTGATTGATTAGACAGCCTGGTGATTATTCGGTTTGGGTGTGGCTAGTACAATTGGACTCCTTTTACTCAAGCTGTGGTTAATCACAGTTAAGTTGTGATTTAACATGGCAGCAAGTATTTTTTCACTTAGGGCCTGGCAGGTTTAAGCTTGTTTCCTGACATAAATTAGATAATTGTTTAAAAACTGCACATTGTATTTGTTTGGGTTATGAGTCACTTATATTAGAACATGTTTGATGTTCTGAAGCATTTAACTGTGAGCAAAATAAGAAATCAGGAGAGGGAATGCAGAGTACTGAAAAATACTTTCTCATTGCACTTATTATTGAATTTGTTAAGCATTAATGTGGTAATTATTTATAGATGTTCAAAAAACACAGCAAGGAGCACATTATACATAATCTGATCAAACGGTGCTTAAGTCAGTGAGAGTAGAAACCTGAGTGTGAACTTTTTTAAACAAACCACACTTGTTTGGAAGGGTTTGCATACTGCTTCACTGCATTTTGTCTTCTTTTTTGTTAAATAAATAATGAGCTGGCATGTTATGCAGTTTTGCTCATATGAGTTTTATTTATGTAATTTTATGACGAGCTAAAGACTGGATGTTTTTCAAGTATTTTATTAGCCTGTTACTTAGCATATCAACATATCCTCATTGCACCAGTGCAGTTTATCAATGCATCTTGCAAGCTAGCAGAGGCTAGCTAGCATCCAGACCAGAGATGGGCAGTAACGCGTTACTTGTAAGTCATTACTGTAATCCGATTACTTTTTTCAAGTAACGAGTAAAGTAAGGGATTACTATTGCAAAAACGGTAATTCGATTACCGTTACTTTCCCGTAGGAACGCTGCATTACTGCGTTGCAAAAACCGTGATTTTTTTTTGCGAGAATGTCTCATGACAGTGACGTAAGCAAGTGCGTCGTTTGTGACAACAGCTGTGTGCAGATCAACAATATCCAGTGCGGGAGAGAGTATGAGCGTGCAGCGTTTAAAGTGTGGAAGTACTGACCTTACTAAAAACATTAGCATCCGTTGTGCGTGGGAAGAAAACTTCTTTTTACAGCGAAAAACCCCCCCTAAACTTCCAAGCAAGCACCGAGTGCGCTACGGCGTAATGGGAAATTCACAGAGAAACTCGCGGATTCTTCAACTGACCGCTGCGGCACACCTGCACCAGGGTAAACCTTCGCCTACGCCACTCCTGCTTTACAGGTGAAAATAGAGCAAAAGGACCGCTAGTCTTTGACTTTATTTATTTTCTGCTGTGTTTTACTTGCATTTATTCGAAAGAGTGAGTGTAAACACAAAAAATTTTTTGCTTGATGCATGAAGTTAAAAGATTAAAACTAATAAAACAAGTTTTAAAAAGAGACTTTTCCATTTGAGTACATTTTGTATGATGGATTATGTAGAAAAAGTAGAATTGGGCTGAAAGATCTATCGCTTTATCACCTCTTCAGGTTGTAAATCGTGTTTTTAAAAAGTAACTAAGTAACTAAGTAATTAATTACTTTTGAAAATAAGTAATCAGTAAAGTAACGGGATTACTTTTTGGGGGAAGTAATCAGTAATTAGTTACTGATTACTTTTTTCAAGTAACTTGACCAACACTGATCCAGACAAAGGAACTTCTCAGTCCAAAAGGCCAACACGGTAGTGGCCAAAACGCTAATGCTGAAGCTTCAAAATATACAATCTAGGATCAGTGGGTGACTCCATCAGTTTTTTTTATTGTCTATGTTCTTAACTTGTAAAACTTAAGGGTTTTCCAGCTAGCAGTTAATTTTTGGTTCGGTGCTGAGCATGTGGTATATAGTGGGCTACCAAGAGCTTTTCAAGCCTCAAAATTAGGTAAATGAAATGAGCTGTGTGTCTAAATACCACAACAGACCCTTTTCCATTATTACCTACTTGAATCGACTCGCCATGGTTTGCCACGGTTTTCAGGGTTTATCATTAGGTCATAGTACCTGGTACTGTCATGGGTGTATACTAGAAGGGAAACTGGACGAGCAGCAAGGGATGATCACGGAAGCAGAAAGACAAAAAACCCGGTTAAAATAGTCAAATAAAAATAAATACACTTTATTTACAGCATAAAAATACCCTGACCAGGGAAGAGAATTTTTTTTAAAACATAAAAATAAAAGTCCAAATGGTCCTCAGTCAGTGAGCTAAAGTCCTAAGGGTCCCAATCAGGCTCTGCAACACTTCTTGGTCGTTAAGGGTCCGCCGAGTCCACCAGTGGGAGCCAGGCTGACAGCGTCCTCCGTCGTCTCCTCGCCATTCCGCACCACCTTCCACCCGCGAGGGCAAAGCTCCAAACTCCGCCCGCCACTGCTCCGTGCCTTTAGTGTTTAGCTGCCATCAACTGGACCCTCTCTCTTCTCCTGCTGTCGCGCCCTTCCGCCAATTGCCACCCCACGGCTCTCACTGCCTTTGGCTGCGTCCGGCTATGTTTCCCTTTTCCGACCAACAACAAGGGAGGCCTGATTGATTGCCGTCCTCTATGCCCTCCAGGTGTATCTAATTAGTTAGGGAAAGCAGGGGGGAGGAGTCTCTCCAGAAGAAGTCCCAATAAATACAGTAAAAGCATGCAAAAAAAGAAAAATACTCTTATCATCAAACACAACAAAGCATGCAACAACCAGGAAAGAAAAATCCTTCTTCTCTAGATGGCAGTACCAGGTACTAAGATAGTACCTGCTCAGCCAGAGTTCCTAGCAGGTACTAACATGTGACGTTCTCAGACTGCATGCCACAGACTGGCTGGTCAGTAGTTTCACTCGATGAGTTGTGAGAGCATCTCATTCAGGAAAATCAAAACCGCCTGGTATATCTTTGCCACGAAGTCCACTTTTGTTGTATCGTTCATTAATTACGTCGTGGGATGCTAGGACGTTTCTATGACAATGACCACGCATATTAGGAGGTACTCAATTGTAATGGAAAACCAGTCGATCCGAGTAGCTAATATTGGAAAAGGGGCTTAAGGCGCTCCTTATAGCTAAGGGGAAACTACAATGAGAGCTCAGTGTCCCTTCCTATGAAAAACCTCTTTAATGTTACACATAAAGTATTTGTTTTTGCTTTTATTGACATTTATTTGAAAAGAGACCATGTACATTATTAACACAAATGCCCCCCTTGTACCAGAGTTAGCTTAAAGCTAACTCTGCTTTAAGAGTTAGCTTAAAGCTAACTCTGCCATCCCTTGGTGGGTTACATGAAGAAGATAACAAAAATGTCAAATCAAAAGTATCATAAGTATATGTGATATTCACATATCACATATGATATAACATGCTCCTATTGAGAAGAATTTAAACATTCACTGTGTTTGAGTTTTCTGCCAGCATTTTAGTTCACACTTGCATTAGAGGTTAAAGCTCAAACCTGAAGCCACCTTTTCTCTGTTCTAGCCACATTTTGTGATTTATGCCAGCAGCACTTTTCCCATAAAAACCTGGTCTTGTTCAGCTATAATTTGATGGCTTAAAATAAAACCTTGGATCAGTCCTTTGAAGCCATCCCTGTGTCCATTTTGGCAAAGCTGTAGCTGTAAATAATGTAGTTTGCAGCAGCGGAGCCTAGTGAGCCCCCATTTACTGGCCGAACATTTGATAGATGGCAGTTTTCACAGGCTAAAAGGGCCAGATCACTCCATCGTTCTTTCTTTTTCAATCTCTTGCCGTCTTTCTCTCTCCCACTGCTTTCCTCCTCGCTCTCATGTCATCGCTCACTCTGTCCGCTCCTCTCTTGCTTTTTGATCCTCTCAGACTCTACCTCCTTTCCTTGCTCTACACATCTTGTTCTCTCTCTGTCTCATTCTCCTATTTTTGGTCCCAGCTGCATCAATAATTCATATCTTTGCATGGACTTTCTGACTTGAGAGCTATCAACAAGAGCTATCAGGGTCATCATGTTACACCTGTGACATACGCTGTCCCACATGAGGATGCATGCACACACACAAACACACACACACACACACACACACACACACACACACACACACACACACACACACACACACACACATGGACGATAGTGCACACATTTAGTGATGCAAGAGAAGGCAGTCAGGTACTCAAGTCACGTTTTTGATCACATGAATGCAGCAAAAAAGATAATCAGAAACAGTGATGATAAATTAATGAGCAGAGAAACTCAGTTTTGGACTAAGGCATCAAACTCACCTCACAGGCTTCAGTGTCTTATTGAAATAAAGCCTTGTGCACTGTGTCACCAAAACACATCCTCCTTGTTGTGATTTGAACATGCCTGATGCTCACTGTTCATTTCTGTGAAAGAGTCAACAACTGGAGAGTTATTGGGGAACGGTGACATATTGTAAGATAGCCACAGGCTGACCTGGGAGTATAATGCCAAACAAGTGTGTACTTTCTCAAACTTTGCTTGAAGATAGCAAGACACAGTGCATGCTAGATAATTTCTTACACTGCTGTCACCAAAGCTTCAAATCTGCCTCACGGGGTAATCTAGGGCTACTATTTTTGGATTGACAGACAGTTTTCACGGCTGGATGCTGGGCTGAGTTCCTGACTTCAGTGAACACAAGAAAAGGCTTATCTTATCTTGCAAGGCTACAAACATGTGATAAAATGTCTCTTTAATATTTTGAATAAAATCCATCAAATAGGGTGCAAATCAACCTGCTAGACTTGCTGTTTGACATGAAGGTGCAAAATTTAGAAGGTGTGCATTCTTAGATCTACTCATCTCTCCCTTTTCTGCTGTAGGTTTGCTGACACATTCATGTGTGTCTCTCCAGCATAAGCCAGCTAACCATAGCAGCTCCCCTTCCTGTCAGGAGCCCTCTTTAATCTGAATTGACATTATGAGACCTTTGCTGAACAAAAAGCTGGACCTCACTTCAAATCTTCGTATAGCTAATCTCACCTTCTGATTTGACCATCTGTCTCTTAAAACTGTTTTAAGGTGATGAAACTGTCAGAATCACAACAATGGGGAAAAAAGAAACGCCATTAAATTCAAAGTGCAAAGAGAAAATTTAAACAGAAAACAAACTCAGTTCTCCTGTGTTTAAGATGTTTTGTCAGCCCGTACATCCACCCCAACCTCCTCCCTAAGCAGACTTTGTGGTTCTATAACCCCTAGTTTTTCCTTCTCCCAGTTTCTATAGGCACTAATAAATCTAACAGTGGGTCCAGTGAACCCAGGATTAATATTATTGAAGGACAAGGTAAGAAGAAAAGGTGGCCAAACTTAAAATTGCCAATGCAGCAGATTCACCAAGCAAAGAAATTGCATAAAAGTGCAGCAAAATAGTGTGTTAGCACAATCACCAAATAGTACTTATAGGTTTGCTTAGTTTTACAGGGGATTTACAAAAGTTGTGCTCTTTTCAAACACAGGTGCAATCAGTTCATTTCAACATCAAGTACAAAAAATAAGAATTGCTTTTTTTCTGTGGTAAAGATTGGTGCAATCAGCAGCAAATTGCGTGTCGCAAACATTAGTAAATCTTTTCGCGGGCTTCATTTAAATATTCTCCTCCCTGCAGTTTTGTGCTGTCACTTCATTCTCTTTGTAAATACCCACAGTATTTTTTTACACCAAACACCATCGGTGCAACGTGTTGGTAAATCTGTCCCGTAGTCAGTCAAGTAGTCTGCTAACACCTGCTGTGCAGAGATACTGGTAGACTTGACCTGAGGTGTCAGCCATTCTATGTTGGGCCATGAGCTAAATCAAGTATTTGTTCTCTGTGCCACTTGGTGTGTTTCACTGCCTATGTAGTCGATATGTTTGAGTTTGTTGCAGGACCTTGTGTTTTATGCAGTCAGACTTTCTAACCACATACTGTATGGGATAAAAGTTCCAGGCTTTCCATTCTTTTTTTCTGCCAAAAGCTCTGGAAGCTTTAACTTCTCTTAGCATGGTGTAGTCTAATCTCCAGCTTGCAATCTCCTAGCTGGCTGTCATCGAGTAGCGAATAATCATCAGTCTGAATCGTTTAATGTAAACACCAATATTCAATGCTCCATGCATGCAACCTGCAAGAGGGTGAGAGGGGCAGAGAGGGAAAGAGCAGCCACCAGGAATATCAGGACTTAAGGCTGCATGAGTTACAGCTCAGCACGGCTCAGCGAGTGAGTTACTGTTATGCAAGAGCTCAGTCAGCCCAGCTGGAGATCAGGGAGAGAGAGAGAGAGAGCAGCAGTCCGAGTGAGAGCACAAGCAAGTAAGCCAAGAGACGGCGAAGAGCAGGCTGGAGAGAAAACAGCAGCAAGTGAGCAGAGAGCAGGCAGATTACAGCTGGATCTACTACACATGCATACACGAACACACTTATATACACGCTGTCACGATCCTTTCTTCTGTCTCATGCCTCTATGCAGAGCAGCAGCATCATGAGAGGACACACAGAGGGAGTTTACCTCTCTTCACCAAGGGAGTAAGGAAAAGAAGAGAGGAGAGGAGAAGACTGAAGAAAGCAAGACAGAGAAAAAAGGAAAGAAAGAAGAAAACTTTCCTCTACAGGATCTTTCCTCCACGTTTTGAGACTTACCATGAGGCTCTGAATTCTCTTCCTCTCTCATAGCTCTTCTTCAGTAGCTGAACCCATGTCTCTAAAAGTGGCAGCCACCGGTAAAAGTGCCAGCACCCACCTCTTGATGCTGCTGTGCCCCCTGCTCTGTGCTCTGGTCCCTGCTGGAGGCTCCACACTGAGCCCCGAGGACTCGCGGAGCACTGCTGCCACGTTGCTGCCAGAGGACTTGACCGGCACAACAATACAACTCCAGCCAGACCTGCAGACTGAAGCCCAGACACCAACAGAAGCACAGACAGAAGCACAGACAGAGGCTCTGACAGATATGCAGACCCAGGGTGTCACCAGCAATTATACAGGTTGGTCTAATGCCTTACTTTTACTTTTACTTTTACTGTTTTCACTGCTTCAATATTTCAGTGTGCATGAGGGGCAAATGGTCATTCTTGCTTATTAGCAAAACATTTTGAGGAGCATGACCGAGTGCCAAAGCTGAATCTATGGAAAGACTGAAATCCCACACAGAATAAAACATTCATACAAATAAGACAAGCAGCAACAACAAACAGTGTATTAAAAAGTCAATTTAGTCTTTTTTTAAAGTCTAACCCTTTACACATAATCCGGGAAAATTGCAAAAACTGTGAAAAAAGGACCACAATAACAACATAACACAGTGTGCATAAAAATCCAGGTAAATGGGGTATTTACAAAAACACTACAAAAAGATTTTTGCATATCTACCTCCTCTCCAGTCAACCTCATTATGGTTTTATCTGGTTCCTTACCTGAACTCAACCTAAGCACAAAAACCACAACAACAGCAACAAAAATTCTCTAAGATCATTTTATTTAAGCAACACTGCATTTTATCTACAAAAGTGTCTTTGAAAGTACCTAAAAGTCCAGTGGACTTGTGTTTTATGCAGTGCTTTACTTGTGTTTTATCCTTTGCTTAAAGCTGGTTTGAAATTTTCAGCTTGAGCACCCATAGAAAAAAAGCAACTTACTCGCTCTGAAAGCTTCCACTTTGTCTTTCAGTTCACTCACAAGAAAGATGTAAAAAAACAGAAAGAAACCAAAACAAAATAGAACAGGCATGTTATCACTCTGGCTGTTATAGTGGATGAGTGTGCCTCTCAGTCATTTGGACTGTTTATGAAGGCCTGCCTTTACTTTTGATTTATAGTAAATCCTTCTGTTTGCAGTTAACTAAGCTTGCAGTTTTGTAATCGTGCGAACATTTGGCAGCACAAGTACATGCAAGGACACACGTGTAAAAGGAGCAAGACCCCCGTACAGAACAGAGCAGGCTTCAGTCACAAGAAATCTGACAAGAAGTCAGATAAACAATACATAAGCTGTGAAAGATGCAGCTTGCAGATTTGCAGCAAATGTTGGCAGGATAAAACAGCCTAAACCTCTCATGTCTAAATTATCATCAGTGACAACTGTAACCAATCAGGATAAGTTGTTCTCCCCAGTTAAGAAAATAATCATTGTCACATACATCAAAAACTACTGTTTCTTTCAATGAAAGTCTGTTATTGCTTTCTCCAAAACGTAGAACGGGTTAGGGTTAACAGCTATGATGGCTTAAGTCTCAGAGGATTACCACAGCCACTATGAGATTTGTTAATTGGATGCGTGGTAGTGTACCAGCTGAGCCATTAGCAGTTGTGGGCTGACATTAAGATTGGCAGATCTGCCCGGATTGTTTGGGGTGGACTTTGTGGCCTGCTGCAACTAACAGTGTGCTCAGTTTGATTATTAGCATGAGCTGGTATACAATAAGCAGATAGTACCCTCTTGTTTTGGAAGCTGAAACGATTGTGTTTTTAGGGTCTAGTAGGTGCCGAGCATGAGCAACACACATCTGCGAAGGCACTATCAATGCTAAACAATATATATAACTGTTTTTGAGTAGCAGACAATATGTTGCCATCCATTTTCAGGAAAAGGCTTGCCTATTTGAGCAAGATAATATCAAACCATAGTATGCACGTATTCCAAAAATATTATTTTAAATAAAAGAGAAAAAAACACAAAATACCAAGTTTCAACATTTTATATACGATGCAGTTGGATTGTGATTTGGCAGACAGCTACACTTGCAGCATGTTTAAGTACAAACTGAGGGTTTCCATGTCTGGCTCTCTGTATGCCTCTTTGGCAGCGGTCCCCAACCTTTTTTGCGCCACGGACCGGTTTATGCCCGACAATATTTTCTTTAAGGTGTCGCGGATAAATACAGCAAAATAAAACTAGTACCGGTACCGAAAAAAAGAAGATTTATTCATAACACATGTGAAAAGACCCAGGAAAACCGATAAAAACGATAACAAAATAACGCTAAAAACCCTGAAAACCATACATTACACACCCGAGCCTCAACTCTCGCGGCCCGGTACAGAAGTGTAAGTGGGTGCTGTGTGAGGCGGCAGGTGATGCAGTTAAAGAAAGTTCATTATGTCCACGCTGGAGCAGCTCAGCCTGAAGAGAAAGCTGCAGCGCCACTCGCATGACTTCATCTCTACTGGAGCATGAGCTGCCTTTATCTTTTCTCCTCTCCCACTGCCCATCTAGGCTATTCCTCTTTGCTTTTCTGTCTATAAGTCTCTCCGTTTCACCAATCCCTGTCTCCTCTGTTTCTCAGTTAATTGCTTTTTTTTATCCTCTGTCACTTGGTTTCTTTCTTCATCTCATCTCATTTCCCTTCTTTATTCTATTATCATTTGTATTTTTTCTTTTACTTTTTCCCACTGTCTCTCTCTCTTTTTGGTTTTCCACCATTTATTCTTACGTCCTCGCCCACCCTCCTCTCAGTCACACTGCCCATATCCTCACGTGTACACACAAACAGCCTACAGCAGATGACAAAATGCAAAGCTCACGTGGCTAATACACACATAATTCACTTTCTCTCTCTCTCTCTCACACACACACACTAGAAATGGACGCACTCAGCCCAAACGACTGCAATCTTCTTAAAGGTTTAGAGAATAAACAACACAGTTGCTCGTTTCACAACTGCAGCAATCTGTCTGACCAAGCAGGAATAAGCACTTCATGCTTTAATAACACACACACACACACACATACAGGTAATCAGCTGGCCTGCCACACTGCACCACATGGAGGGTTTTCACTTGACCAGAGGTTTTATGCAAGAGAGTGCCCAAAAATTTTAAATCCTAAACGTGTGATTAATGTCAACTCTCCTAAAAGCAACATGTGAGTGGTATCTATGTTTATGACAAAATCAAATCCTAATCAGCTAGCTTTAAGAGATAAAAGCTGCTCTCCAGATTCTGTTTACTTACCCCCATCACTTTAAAGCTGTTTGATTTTTTACTTTAGGACCAGATTACAGCAGCAATGCAGTGTTTATGTTTAGTCATTGTAGGTGTTTTAGTTTTGGCTTTGTAAGTATAAAGCCACTGTCAGGTGACAAAAATTAATTCAGTTAAATATAGGAGATGCAGAGCACTTTGATTCAGCAGCCAAATTAAAGGCAATGAACAAAGTCAAATAATAAAGTAAAAAGTAAAAAAAAATGTCTAGCATAATAAAGCATATAGTCGGTTCACCATGTGGATGTCACCCATTTCCTCTCCAAAGCGTGGTAGACAGCATGCAGAAGTTCCAGTACCAGTAGGGGGAGAACATTTATTTAAAGCCAAAAAGTCATCCTTCTACTCCAGCTAGGCAGCTAACATGTAAAGTCTGTTTAAACACTTTCCCATAATTCTTTTCATGTAGGCTTGAAATGAAATATCTCCCTCTGCTGTTACTGCAACTTATCACACGTGGCCATTCGGCTAATATCACCCATTAGTCCTTGATATTTAGCTAACCATTTGTTCATTGCTTTTAACAAGTAATTCAGCCATCTGTAAATCTATTTCTCTAACCTAATTCTGCAGTTTTTACATTACATTTGGCTAACTAAATGTAACACATTTAGCTAACTCAATTTACTTTTCAGTAAACTGATCTATTTGTCCATTGCTTTTAGCTTGTTTAGGCAAGTGTTTCCCAACCACTGAGGCACGGCACATAGGTGTGCCATGAGAAATTATCAGGTATGCTGTGGAAGATTATCTAACCAGCGATCAGCGTAACAGGCAGAACAACATTTTCTTCCACTGAAGGGCAGTACAACTACCTGCCCTAATTAAATGGGTTGCCGACTGCCAGTAAAACAGAAGGAGAGGAAGAACAAATCACATGATGTGAGCCGATGCAGCGTGTATTAGCAATAGATAAATATTTGAAAAGAAAAAGTAGTCAGTCTGACCTGGGTCCTGGAGAAAATTCTGACCCAAATGAAGGCCCTAGCATTAGTAGTGGTCAGAAGAAAGCAACAAAGGTATACTGGGGACAAACTAAGCCAATTCCCCTACGCCTGGTGTGTGGGGGGAAATGGTGAAAATGGTTTTTGTGACATTTCTGTTTGGTGGTGTGCTGTGTGATTTTTCTAAGGTGAAATATGTGCCGTGGCTCCAAACGGTTGGAAAAACTGGTTTGGACCGTTTAACATTCACTTTGAGCAGTTTCATTGAGCCTTTAATGCATTATTTACAGCTGTTTCCACCACTTTTCAATTACTTTTGAGCTGTTACGATCAGCTAACAGCTTTAACCATTCAACACTACATGACTATAAACTAACCAGCCATGTCAGGAACTCTTTTATTTATTTACTGCCTTAAGCATGTAGACATGTTCAAGTAATCATGCTGAATTTCAAACTGAGTATCAGAATGGAGAAGAAGGTGATTTAAGTGACTTTGAATTGGTGATTGCTGGAGCCAGACGGTGTGAATATTCGAGAAACTGCTGACATACAACCACCTCTAGGGTTTACAGACAACGGTTGAAAACATTTTCCAGTAAGCAGGCAGTTCTCTGGGTGAAAATCCCTCATAACAACCAAGAGCATCTCTGAATGCGTAACCTATCAAAACTGAAGCAGATTAGCAGCAGCAGCAGAAGACCACACCGGGTGTCCATCCTCTAATGACCACAGTGTACCCATCTTCTTATGGCTGCTTCCAGCAGGATGTCACAAAGATCAAACCACATCAGTTCACTGTACTGTAATAATATGCTTTAAAAAATCTGCATCTATTATAAGCAAGGTCAATTCTTTTATTTATTTATAGCTATTAAAGACAAGATTTAGTGTCTGAAAACACAACTGAGATGTCCTGTTAGCAGAATTCACAGTGTTAATATCGATGAGGATGGCGAAGCAGGTGTCTTAAAGTTTAGTTCAAAGATCCTTGGAGTGTCGGGTAAAACAGAGCTTTCAGACTGAATCGATAGAAGCTGCGATTCATTATGCAGCTCATCCA